TTTTTTGTTATTAATAATTATGCATATTTTTAAGATAATATATTTTTATATTAAGTTTGCGCCACGTTTTTTTTAACGTGAGGTAATGCTGTTGTTTGCCGAGCCTAAAAGTTGAGACAAAAAGGCATTCATCAACTGTTAAAATAGTTTCTTACACATAATATAAACAACGTATTATCTGCAATACTTAATTTAATTATTTAAAATATTTAAAAATTTAGTTGTCATATTTCTGTTAGTGTGTGGAATTCCGTCAGTGTGTGAAATTACCACTTACCACACTGCTGTGAATTTTGCCTTCTTAACAAAAAATGACTAACCTCGTTTATTGATTTCTATGTGTGAAATTCTACTTTACACATGATGGTGTAAAAATATTTGGTTTTTTAAAAATTTGGTTTTTTAAAATATGTATTTTTTTTAGTGAAACTTATTTGAAATTTTCTCAGGGATTTTTGTTTGAAAATGTAAATATTTCTTTTTTTCAAAGCAGATGTTAAACTATTTCTTTATCAACTCTTTTGAATAGATAAAGTAGCACTTGGACCGCAAGGGTAGATAAGGTAACACTTTAACAGCAAGGGTAGATAATAGTTATTTATTGTAAGAGTGTGTTAGATAGCGTTTTATCCACGCAAGAATGTTTAACCGCGAGAACGTCAGTTCGAGCGGTTAATTTTCTTAAGTGGATAAAACGCGACTAACACACGACTGCAATATAACGTTTTATCCACAATCACAGGCCCAAATTATTCTAAACTTAATTAAAAATTAAACTGACATCTAAACGTCACGTCAAATGTGCTTTCGGTTAAACGTAGTAAGTAAGCTGTTACGCGGTGCGCTGGTTACTAACAGTGGTATAAGTTACTTTTTTCCACTAGTGGATAAAGTTGTATTTTATACGCATCTAAAGTGTGGAATAAAGTCTCTTTATACAGTGATTGTGGATAAAATGTTTTACCTTATTTTATTCATTTAAATTTACAAATTTTATTATTCACAAGGAGGAATAAAGCGTCCGACTTACACTCAAACAAGTTGAATACAACTGCTTTAAATCTGTTAAAAAAGTCTGATGACATTTCGTATTTGAAAATTGCCATTTTTTTTTAATTCTATTTTTTCTCTTAAACTTTAAGTCCTGCTATAGAACAAAATTTTTGTATAATACACGTCAATAAAGATTGTTTATCGTCTTGTAAACTTTAATAAATAAATATTTATTATTTTCATTATTTTGTCAAAAACTAGAAGTTTGTGCTCAACGAAATTTATTAACGTTTTTGACTTGTAAAATGTTTTGTGAAAAAATCTAATACGCGCTATTAGTGTGACGTCAGCAAGGTACGTGACTGTACCTTTGAAGCTAAACAAATAAAAAAAGCTAAAAAAAAAAATCCTGGAAGTGTAGAGAGATTGTTTCTAAGGAAATAGTTGCTATGATAAATATGTGTCGTTTCGTAATGGTTTTAACAATTGTAGTCAACATTTCTGTAATTTAATCTGTTCTAACGTCACTTTCTGTGTACGTCAAAAATATGTGTACAGCATTGCCAGAATGTTGCAAACGACAGGAGTGGATAGGTCGTACCAAAACAAAACAAAATAAAAAATATTAACATTCACATAATGTGTATTTGTCTGAGAATATAAATTATTATTTGTTTACAAGTAAATATAATTATCTAGTAAAAAAAATCTAGTATCAATTTGGTACTCTAGTATCACAACTGGCAACACTGTATGTTTAGCTTCAGTACAGTCGCGTCTGTGACGTCACCTCTAATAGCCCGTATT